TGCATATGAGCAGTAGATGGTCTGTTCCACATACAATCCCTGGTCTTGTTTTGGCTGATGATATGGAGCTTTCCCATCTTTTCTTCCCACACACTTACTCAATTTGATTCCTTTGTATTTCATCTGGTGAGGGTCTTCTATGTCATTGAAAAAAGGTTTTTGCAATGAGTAAGTCATTGGTCTTGCAAAATTCTATCATGCGATCTCCAGAATTATTTCTATAACCAAGGTCATAGTTTCCAAATATTAATCCTTCTTTGTTTCCATCTTTCATATTCTAATCAACAGTAGTTATCAATACATCTTGATTACATATTTTATCAATTTCAGACTTAAGATATTAAAATTATTCAATTTCATCACCACGGGTTTTAGTTGTTGGTATATTAATTTGAATAACATTGGTGTTAACTGGTCTTCCTTGCAGGCATGCGGATATCATCTTATCACAGGCAGCACTGTACTTCATGATGTCAAAATATTCTTTTTGACGATGAATGTGACACCATTCCTTTTGAATTTGTCATTCTCTGCATGGTAAACCATATAATTGTTTGCTTCAAAATGGCCAATCCCAGTCCATTTCATCTCATTAATGCCTAGGATACTGATCTTTATGTGTTCCATTTTGTTCTTGACAACTTTCAGTTTTCTGAGATTCATATTTCGTACATTCCATGTTCCATTTAACAATGGATGTTTGCAGCCAAAGCTCCTGTAATGCTTGGTAAATATATATTAGGTGAGTAAACAAATAATTATTGGTACCTTTTATTTCCCTGAAAAGAAGGTTAAAATGGTCAACATTGTATTCTGTGGGTCCTTCCCCCTGAAGTCCAGGACTTAACGCAACTTCTTCCCATCTCCTGGGCACCTGCTTCAAACCCTCCAAAGGCTCCTAATTACCCTCCTTCACATGGCCCACATGGCTCTGTCTGACCTGACCCTCTTAATCACTCTAGGTTCAACTGGCCCACTCACCACCACACTCCAGCCACACTGCCTTTCCTTTCCTACTTCTGGCTTTGTCCACGCTGCTCCCCCTATCTGGGATGCCCTTCCTTCATCACTACCTGACTGACTTCATCACTCTTACAGCTCAACCTTAATGAAGCAAACTGCCACTGTCCCTTCCTCAAAAGACCCTTTTGTGGCCCTCCATCCTATGGTAACTGTGGTCCCTCTTCTTTTCCTTTCCAAACCACTCACAATTTGTGGGAATACAGCAGGTTACCAAGTGTTGGTGTTCATCAGCAACCCAGCGCATAGAACCCAAGAGGGCAGACAAGGGCACCTCTGGAGACAGGACCTAGTTATGGGCATCAGTGCTAAATTGAAACATGAGGTCCCTTTTTCAAAGACAGCAATAGCAGAGCATTAAATCAAGTAGGGGCTCTTTTTGAGCTTAGATCACAATGCCCATGAAATCTGCTCTGTCTGGAAACTCATAGTTAAAGGAAAGCAAAATACAGCTCTAGGAACCCAGTCAGGCAGGCACGGAAGAGTAAATACTGGTGAGTTTCCATATTGTTCATATCCTCAAAGAAGGGACAGCCCACTTGTTCTATAGAAAGAGACCACAGCTTCCTCCTTGAATCCATAAAAGAGCCCAGATGTGCTATCTGTAGGGTGCCTGATCAGAAGACACTCCACTCAGGCTAAATCTTTCTACTGTCAATTTAGCACAAGCTTAATTTAATGGCATGGGCAAGAGCCAAGAGGAGAAAAAGACAGTGACAAGAGAGTTTTATCAACCTTTTTATGATGCAGGCAAATAAAAGCCAAGAAACCTATTGGGATAATAAAAGGGTCTCCTCTTCCTTTCACAAGTACTTCAGCTTGTGAAATTTCCCCTCAGTTTTGGAATAACAGCTTCTACTAGTAAAAAAGTTAATAAACTATAGACCAGAAAAGTTTTTCTTTCAGTTACTCAACTGAGTTTTGGATAAATGCAATGTCTGCTTTTTTAAGAACAGACTCTGGCTCCAGAAACACAAAGCAATCATATTCTAATAAAATAATAAATAGGAACTACATAGCTCTAATGATTTATTTTAAAACAAGAGAACCATACTGTGAAGTCTCTGACACATTCAACTTTGCCATAATGCAGTCTCCTCAGCATTTTATTGTTTCTTCACATCTTACCTTACCTAGGCAGTTTCACAGTTACTCCTTGAGTTTGTCTCCTATTTGTTGTTGTTAAGTGCCATTAAGTCGGTTCTGACCCATAGCGACCCTATATAAGTTTTCTGAGGAGCAGCTGATGGGTTTGAACTGCCAACTTTTTAGTTCAAATTGACTTTACCCTACAGCGCCATACCAGGACTCCTCTATCACTCATGATTTCAAGCCAGTGTAATACAAACATTTTATAAGTTCAGATTCATAATGAGAATACATTTTATAATTCAGCCCTGTATACACATACAAATAGAACTAAAACAAGTTTTCTGAGTACTGTATTCTGGTAGTTTATATTCTCTTGAATTTTTTTTTTTTTCCCAATGATATCTAACCTAATGTTTTTTTGCCCCTTGGGTGATACAAATGGTTAGGGGCTTAGCTACTGACCAAATAAATGTTTGGTGGTTTGAGTTCAGTGAGAGGCACCTCAGAAAAAAAACCTGGTGACATACTTCAACAAATATCAACCACTGAAAACCATTATGGAACACAGTCTTATGCTGACACACATGGGGTCGCTATGAGTTCAAAACAACTCCACAGAGCAAGACCCTACCCAGAGAAGCAGTGACGCCAGAGATGGAGGCAGAGATGATGATGTGGAGAGATGGAACAGCTGAAGACTTTAGACACAGAGAGGGAGAGGGGCTGTGTGCTGACAACCGGGGTGCAGGCTTGTAGTGTATACCCTTGGCTTGGTTGATGATGCATGGAGGGGATTGTAACCATGGCAATGAAATGATATACAGTAGGATGAATGTAAAACTAACGTTCTCCCATGTAAACTACCACATAATTCACAATAAAACATTAAAAAAACAACAACAAAAAAAACTCCACAGCAACTAATTTGGGTTTTAACGGATTATGACCCACAATTTGAAAACTGCCCTACATTCTTGTATGCATTACTACCCAGATTCCATCTATCAGATCTTAACTAAGCTTCATGTGAGTTCATCTACACAACCCATAAGAAATTTTGCAAAGGTAGCTTTAAAAAAAAATGGAACCTTTAAATGATTTTTTTCTAGCAGAAAATAATAGGTGAGAATTCTATAGAAAGAAGATTGAAATTAAATGAAGGCAGTTTTTCTAGGACAAAATAGATTTTACAGCTTAGTGTGCAGAGCGGGGAAGACCTAAGCAGAAGGCAGAGAATGGCACAGTTAGAGAACTTTCTATATCTGGTTTCCTCAGCGTGGGCCCACTATTTTGTTTGAAGTGTTGCAGTCTTCCAGAGAAATCAGACACACTCATATTCAAACACATAAATGCATTTCAAAGAAAAGGTTTTTCTGACATCTTAGAGGCTTCCGCCTTCTCTGTCTCCTATAAATGGTCTGTCACCATGTTCTGTCATCTCCTGCTTTAAAGAGTCTCACACCCACGTCCCTTCCCCCTCTTTTCAATCTCCTGCCTGCAGGCCAGCCACAGTCAGGACTCCAGACCTTTGCTTCAGGCAAACAAAACAACTGCCCCTCTTAAGATATTCCCACTAGGCTGTGCCTTCAGTGGCTCTGACCATTTCAAGCATACCCACATTTTTCTGGTGGCCTGAAAAATCTAGGACTTACACTCCCAACCCTATCTTCCTCACAGTTCATGGCTCTCTCCCCTGAGGTCTACTCTTCTACCACACCACAGAACAAACCACACACTTCATCCTCAGTAATAATAAGAATGAGGTCACCCCTACTGTGAGTTCAGCACCAGGCTAGGACGACTTTCTTACTACCTTGGACTCTCACACCACCCAGAGAGGCATCATGATTTCAGCAGCTGACTAAAGTGAACTCAGGGGGGCTAGATTGCAAAGTCCAGACTGTTTCCCTCACCAACCCCAATGCCTCCTGAATGCCATACAATCTTTAAGCTTGTATGGCATTTTCCGGCTAACCTTTGGAATGAAGCTATTGACTTGAGGTGAGGAAAGATATACACAGGACCCTCACATGACATCAGATAGAATGCTGGTTTTCTTGATTAGGTTCTTCAGGAAGACTCTCGGCTGAGCTCAGCACCAAGAAGAGTTTGTACTGGTGTCAACTAGCAGGTTTGTTTTTATAACACATGGATGTGTATCACCAGCAAGGATGCTTTTTCGGCACTAACTGTGAGAGCAATCCATTGAACATGAATGCAAACCATTTCCATTTTCTTTCCTCCTGTTTCTCTCTATAGTCATTGTGCCACACAGGGCCAATCTTTACAGATCACTTTAACCTTCACTAGAACACAGTAGGAAACAAGGAAGTACCAACCTTAATTTTCCTCATCATCTCATATGCTTTCTCTGCCTTCGTAACATAGCATACAACCCAACAAGACGGTTGCATCTGCTTCCACTTTGAGTCTCTGAAACACCCCTAAACTCTTGGGAATACTCAATTACATGTGCCAACTGACCCTTTTCCATTACTGCAATATTTGGAGGGTGAAAAAAAAAATCTGACAAGACTTTCTTATCCTGAGAATCATTTGCCTGGAACTATCCTTTTGGAGTCCTGGTGCTGTAGGACCAGCACTGGACTGCGAAGCACAATGGCAGCCATTCAAACCTACCAGCTGCTCCTCAGAAACGCTATCCAGGGTCCTTAAGAGTTGGAACTAACTTTATGGCACTCAACAACAAACAAAAAATCTTATCACATTTTACCTGATGTAGCCATACTTGAAAGCAACCTAGGCATTTCCTCCAATCTACTTAAGCTATCTCACCAGAAAGAAAAGAATGTGAATCCAAATTTAGCTTGGGAGTGGTGAAGGAACCTAAATAAATGGTCACACGCCCAGTGGGCATTTCAACCTACCTTGGTCAAATCCATTCCAAGTTTGAGTTGTGAAATGAGATGAAGAATTATACTACGTTGCTCCTCCATGACACCAAGTTCTGTCTCTTCCTTATCTTCAGTGTCGCTTTTTTCATCTTCGGATAAAACGAGTTCAGGACCTGAATTTGGCTAAAATGAAATCAACAAAATTCTTTCAGCTGGTCTAGTAGAGGGTAAAAGCACTGCATAGAAACTCCTGAGCTTAACTGCTGACAGGAGCAAAACCCAGCCACAAGCTCTTCTGTCTCAGTGCAGACCCCATGCTTTAGCCACTGCATATTCCCACTCAGCATTCCTGTAGCCTCCCAGTAGGCCTGATGTGGTGCTAAATAAGCACTCAGTGCAAACGGCAAGATTTGTGGTTCAAACCCACCAGCTGCTCCTTGGAAAGTCCATAAAGGGTTACTATGAGTTGGAACTGACTTCACGGCACTTAACAACAAAAAGTGAATCTCTTGGCCTATCGGTGGTGGTGGGTAGGGATTGTGTGTCTAGAAGTCATAGTAACCCTGAATGGGGTTTTTGAGGCTATAAATCTTCACAGAAACCAAAAGGTTCATCTTTCTCTCAGAGAAAGATTCGTAACCACTACGCTGGTAGCGTAGTGGTTACGAATCGGGCTGCGAATCTTTAGGCCAGCGGTTCGAAACTACCAGCCGTTCCGCGGGAGAAAGATGAGGTTTTCAGCTCCCGTAAAGATTTACAGCCTCGGAAACCCTGTACAGGGTCGCTATGGGTCGGAACCGACTCGAAGGCACTTAACAACAACAACAATGAAGTACTGGTGTGGCGGTGTGGGTTAATGCATCAGACTGCAAAGTCGTTTCAGCTGCAAGGTTCCAGCTTATCAGCTGCTCCCTGGAAACCCTATACAGGATAGCTATGGGTAGGAATAGACTCCATGGCACCTAACAACAACAAATCCTACCAGGGCTCCTTTGCATACAGGCTATTGGTGTTGCTAAGTGCTTCTGACTCCAGCGACCCTGTAAAGGGTTTCCCAAGAGTGGCTGGAGGGTTTGAACCACCTTGTGGTTAGCATTCACTACTTATCCTACAGCATCCAACCAAGACTCCAGAAAGCCTCCTTTTTCTCTTGTAGAGTGACTGGATGGATTCAAACTGCTGACCTTGTGGCTAGCAGTCCAGCAAGCAATCCACTGTACTGCCCAACCCCTGCGCCTCCACCACACAAGTATGATCCCCTTAATCTAACCTATTCCTAGGTAACGTCTATTAATTTGCACAATCTAGGGCATTTTATATAGTTTGTAAAATTTTCTGTGTATAAGCGAAAGTTGGATGTCCCTGATACTGACTAGAATTACCTAATTTATAGGAAAATTTACCCTGAAGCTGCTTCTACACATAATTAACATCACTACAGCAAATGTAGGAGCAGCCTCTGAGTTAACATTAATTTAGGGAAGGAGATAAAAATGAAAATTAAAGCAAAAACTCTGAAGTTTTCTAGTAATGTTGGAATTCATGCTGGCCAACAGACCCTGCTTTTCTTGATATATGTTTATTAATTTAATTGCTTAATTCCAATTATTCAAATTACAGAGAAAATAGGCAAGTTAATAAATAAATGTGCATGGGAGGAATTACCAGCCACAGAATTTTCCATGTCCAAGTATCAAGAACTCTGGTTAATGTAAAGTTGCCCTTGGAATTCTATTGAAAGAAGTAATTCTATTCCACACATTCTTGTAGCACAGGTTTATGTGTGAGCAAAACCCCTCTGTACTAAACACTGCCCATTTTTTCAATTACCCTTAACAGCTTAGACATAATGAACTTAATAATTAGAAATGTTATCATACAAAACAATACAGATTTGGCCCAAGGTCTGTGCAAACACTAATGATTTATAAAGTACATCAGACAGAATTATCTCATTATATCGAAATGCATTTCCAGTATGTAAAGGTTCGTTTAGTGATCGAGGTGTTTTGCAATTGTCTGGTCTAAATACAGGTACCCGTCACACCTAACCAATGCTCAAAGAGCAGACGCAGTGGTTCTCCTTCCCTAGGTATCTCTTGTCAACCTGGGGGTAGGGATTGCTTATGTCTTTCAACTTAAAAAGGCTCATCCCATAAACACACTCTCAAATTTGTCTCAGTCACATTGAATAACCACGATTCAAGAGAGATGTTTGAGACAATCTGAGTGAAATCCACAGGACTATCCCCCAGCCAAGAGTCAGAGTGTTCTCACATCACCTGGCAAGTTCTCCTGGCTCACTGTAATGTGTATCTGACACTATCAGTAAGTTGCTTTACTAGAACAGAGTAAAATATTGGAGGAACTCTTAACTCTAATCTTTTCCAGGAAAGAATAACCAGGGGCAAGTCTGGCAGCTTGGACCATCCTGACTCTACACTGGGGAGATGGGATAATGGGGGATGACACAGGGGAGATGATGAGAGCTCAGTCTTTCTGAAGCCACCCGGTCTCTCTTCCCTCTGCTCAGAGACAAAGCCTGTTACTGCCAGGGCCACTGGAGTTAGGACTTGAAATGGCTGAAGTGAGGATTAAAAGAGTCACCCTTTTATCCTTCTCTTTCTCCTCCTCTGGATGTCAGGGGAGATGCAGAGTGGGTGGTCTCAAGTCACCCAGAACTTGCATTTTCTAAATGCTGGCACAGAGATGGGAGAGCTCCCAATGGTAAATCCTTTCCTGTACAAAATTGCTACCACTGCTGCTACTTCCTTTCTGGAAAATCTGGTAAATGGTAATGGGTTTTAGCAGAGCTCCTCAACCCAGGGGCAGCTGCAGCAGGAAAAAGGAAAATCAAAACCAAGTTACAGTAAGTACCATCATGCCGTACTCCTAAGGGGAAAGGGTATGGCACCAAGTCTTCTAAAATCTCAATAATGCAGTAACTGAATTTTGGGTCCAATTATTCTAGTTGAAATTAGTTGTTCTTACAAAGCACTAATTGTAAACTGAACAAATCACCAACTCAAGCGAGGCTGCCATACGCTTTATGAAATGCAGGATGATCCTTGTAAAGATGTCATTTTCCATTTGCCCACAAGCCCTGAGTGGAGAAACCCCCATCTTCCTCACTCATTGACACACTCTGTGTCTCCTGGGACCATGCCTCCTTCTGCTGTCTGTCACTAAAAAATTAAATCCAGCTTGTTCCCAACTTGCAGCAGCCAGGAAGCCTTCTGCAAAATATTGCCACATAATATTAAGTACACACATTCCTGTCAACACTAGCTTCTCCAGTTCTTTCTGGTTCAAATCAACATCACATTTCCTCTGTTCTTATGATTCCTCTCAAAGGCACTGGCTCAGGAGAGAACAAATACTGGTGCACAAGGGTCAATATGCTGACTCACTCCAGGGCTACAGTGGTGGCCAGAGCTCAGGGCAGGGACCTGGGACTCTGAGGTCCTGTCAAGGGAAGAAAGATCATGGGGAGGAAGTCTGACCAGCACCTTCCTCCTCTGCACCAATCATCTAAGTGCAAACTGCACCTTAAGTTTAAACAAGAACCTAGCACTATTTTCTGCCTCTCACAGCTTCTGAGAACTTGCCCTTCACAGTTTCTGAGAACTTGCCCTTTTTCTCACAGTAAATAATTTTCCTCCTACCGGATATCAAGTAAATCATTTACGCTTATCAGCTTGAGAAAAACAATTAAAAGATTGATTTCATTCATCATGTTGTTCATAGACATCTTGGTAAACCCTTCCATGGGCCACAGTGGAGTTCAGTCATTTGCAAAAAGGCAAGACCTTCTGTTGTGGGTCCAAATTTGGGGTGTGTGGGTAGAAAGGTGAGAGTATTGGAAAGATCAAATCCATCTGAAAGAGGTCAATTTATAATATAAATACATAACTGTGAGCCCCCACAAAGCACCCATCATTCGAAGGTATTGCAAGGAATCAAGGATTTGAAGAACCAAGTTTTGGTAGAGTTTTAAAGGCAGAAAAGCTTGTTTTCATGTGGATGAAGAGTTTGTAGCTTCTGCTATCCTAATAACTGTGGCTGGATCTAATGTGTCCACCCACATTCTCACCTCCCCTAATAAAGTCCTACCCCTCTCTCCTGGGTGCTTCCGACCTGTCCATACTCTAGTTCATGGGGATTTTCACTTGTAATAACTGTCTTGAGGTGGTCAAAGGTAGCAGAACAGCATCTCTCCACCTCAAAAGAAAATTGAAAATGAGAAATGGTTCTGTAATGCTGACAAAGTCTTTTAAGATTTAGCAAGAAGTATCTTCTCCAGATCCCCCACCCCAAAAATCTTTGCAAATGAGTCATCCCAGCCACAAATATGAGCACAAACCTGAAGATGACATAGAATTACAATATATTTTAAAGAGAAGCAGGCTTCAGAAAAATGAGATGTTTAATAAAAAATATGACTTAGTTTTTCTAAGCACTTCAGGATATTGGTGCTACAAAAATAAAACGACTCACACCTATTGGTAAATGGGGAAAAGGAAAGTGGAAATTTGATGGATGGAAAAAGTCTTCAAGGAAAAGCTGGATTTTAGGAACAGTGCTTAGTGGCTCAAGAGTGACCTGTGCCCCAAAGCAAAGGCTCTTGACCTAGACTCCATGGATGTTGTTGTTGTCATCAATTGCCATAGAGTCGGTTCCAATTCATAGTGACACTCTATCGGGTTTTTGAGGAGTGGCTAGGTGAGTTTCAGTTGCCAACCTTGTGATTCAAACCAGCCTTGCAGTCCAGTGCATTATCCCGCAGCACCACGCCAGGACTCTGGACTCCAGGGATAGTCCTTAAGGCATCTATCCATTATTACCCTTGAAATTTTATGCAAAAAATGGTTATTTTTCTGATGAGAGGGTCTGTCGCTTCCCATGGATTTGTTGAAAGGTCTGACCCTCAAGCTGACCTCAAACAATGTAAGAGGTGGATTCCTAGGGTGGACAGTAGTCTCATCCCCGAGTCCCAGCATATGCAGAGACGATTCTACCTTTATCCATAGATCCTTGAGACTCTGTTTCTTAGGTTTATATGGGCACAAATTTTCTAGTGAGGACACAAGAGGAGGATAAACACTGAACTTTACATTGATCTCTCTTTTTTTTAATAAAAAATCTTAATTCTTTAATACAAGTTTCAAGCAAGGCTGAAATTC